GGGTGGACGGGGCGGGGGCCGTGGGTGAGGCTGGGTGGACGGGGCGGGGGCCGTGGGTGAGGGTGAGTTCATGGGGTAGGGGCTGTGTGTCAGGGTGAGTGGACGGGGTAGGGCTGTGGTTATAGATGAGGAGGTCCCTGGTTGGCTCCAGTTCCGTCCTTTTTTTCCTTTACCATCAAACCTCTGCCTGCCCTTCCTTGTTCCACTTCTCCTGTCTATGTCTCTCCTCCGTGTTTCCTGGCTTTACCTCCAATCTCTGGCTTGGCAGACGTCTCCATCAGACTCCTCTTGGAGGCCTGCTGAGGGCGGGAATAGGGGAGCCCATCTATAAACAAAAACACAACATTCACATTCTCACCTACAAGTGGGAGCTAAATGATGAGAACACATGGACATACAGAGGGAACAACAGACACGGGGCCCACCTGATGGGGGTGGGGGAGGAGGGAGAGGAGCAGAGAACAATTATGATTGCACACTCACCTTAGTACCTGGGCGATGAAATAATCTGTACAACAAACCCCCTGACACAGGTTTTCCTATATAACAAAACCTGCACATGTACCCCTTAACCTCTAATAAAAGTTTAAAAAATAAATAAGGCCAAGTGCAGTGGCTCACACTCATAATCCCTGCACTTTGGGAGGCCAAGGCGGGTGGATCACCTAAGGTTAGTGGTTCAAGACCAGCCTGGCCAACACGGTGAAATCCCATCTCTACTAAAAATACAAAATTAGCCGGGCGTGATGGCAGGTGTCTGTAATCTCAGCTACTCAGGAGGCTGAGGCAGGAGAATCGCTTGAACCCAGGAGGCAGAGGTTGCAATGAGCCTTGATCATGCCACTGCACTCCAGCCTGAATAACAGAGCGAGACTCTGTCTCGAAAATAAAAAATTAAAAAATTGGGAAGAAGGAACGTGACTAGTGTGTTACGAGTAGAACCCACAGACACTGTAAACATCCTGTGATGCACAGGACTGGCCCCCACACCAGAGAATTATCCAGCCCCAAATGCCAGTTGTGCCCGAGTTGAGAAGCCATGCCCTAAATTCTCTTCATTTCCCACCAGTGTTAGGGACAAGGATGAGGAAGCTTAGTTGAAGTCACATGTGGCTTTCACAGTGTGCACATTCAAGTGTCCACAGCCCTCTGCACCTCTGCAATTCGGTCCTTCAAGATGTAGAATGGGAAGGAGAGGGGAGCCCCAGAAAGAGTATTTGGTCACCTGAGAAGACAGGATAATGGGACTAGAGATAGGAAGAGACATGGCAGACAGGGAGATTGCCAGGATCAGTATTGACTTAACAGCCATGACCCAACTCATTTCTTTTTTTTTTTTTTTTTTTTT